ACTCCTAAAAACGCCTATAGGTGAAATTGAATAGTATTTTGCCCCGCCAGGAACATACACAGATATGCTATTTCCGTGGCGGTTTTGTCTTACAAATTGCCATGGATCTACGAGAGCTATGGTAGTTTCCCGTATTTTTTCGTGTGAAAAAAGGCCGTCACGGATATACTATCTCAATACACACAGTAAATCCGTTGCGGTTTTTTAATCCACACTGTCCAAAAAATAAGACGACATCGAGTTTATAAGGAAAAACAATGTTTATAGGTGAAATACTATAGTGTTTCGCCACAGCGATGGACTTGCTATGTCTATGGCAGTTTGTTGAACGTATCCACAATGGATGACGCATCGTCCGTTGTGGTTTTGCGTGAATTTTATATCGTCATGGACATGCTAGGTCTGTGGCGGTCAAAAAACACACGCCATCCGACAGCTGTTTGACGTACCAAAAGTATGGCTCTAGTTATAGGGTCCATTTTAGGGTGCTAGAGACCAATTTTGCTGAAATTGTTTCTTTGTGTTCACTGCCTTAAACATGTCTGATTGTGATGAAACTCGACGGGTGGTCTTTTAAAGTGCTGATGACAATAATGACCAATTCTGGGGCCATTCTAAGACTGTCAGGAATTTCCACTGTTTTGTAGACTCTATTGACCTGCTTCTTACCAGGGACCAAGGTGCTGAAAAATACGTTCAGTCAGCTTGCCCCGCTGGATGTTGTACTTCAAGGGAAGTGAGAAGAACAATCATTTGAAAATTTTTTTTCAGCTTTTACTTTTTTTTCTTCCTAGCCATAGGACCACGTGAATGCCAAGGAGATTCACGTAATGGTGTCACTAGGCTGCTCAGACGTAGGGATACATTATTCGGGGGTCCGTCAATGGAGACTTTAGGGGAAGAAGATACATGTTTGAGGGATCTTGTCAAAGTCCTCACCCTCGTGCGGACTGTTGGTGAGTGAGGATTTTGTACGAAGGTCAATGTTCCCATTTGGTCTGCGTTCATTGGTTTGCTTTGGTAGGCGCTGTTTGCTGCTACACCAGGTTTTCTTTTGACATTCAAAGTACCACTATAGGTCTCGTCTATCGAGTCCAGTCAGCTGTAGGTTCTATTAGCCGATCCGAAAGGTCTAGTCGTGCCGGCTAGACAAGCTGGCGTCTCTGGCAGGTTCTCCCCTGGCTTTATCGATTTCTTGCCTTTGGAGTATTTATTTCTAGAGTATGTTTGTGACCTTGTGGGAATAATGTTCTTCCTCATGAGACTTGTCTTGCCATTTTGGCGTCTTCTGTCTTTCAAGTCCTTTTGCAATTGGACTCAGGCTCTTAGAATCTTTTCCTTGAAGCTCATACTTTTGGAGTCTTGGCATTTATGACACCAGGGATTTTTCTTCTTTTGAGTGAGGACTGAAGTCGCCTGTTGAGGCGAGTACTGCATCAACCTGTTTATTGGTCCAAGCGTCCTTTACGAATTTTCGCTTGAACTTGGGAAGCGGTGCCTTAGAGATGGTTTTCACCAACTTCTTTTTATTTTGGGTTCTTTTACTCATAACCTTTCAGCTATGTCCACCCTTTTCATCCATTTCTACTCATGATGCCCTTTCGGGTTTTCACCAAGCCCGGTTCTTATTCACGGAACTCTTTTACCCATGGTTTCGTGATCATGCCCATCCGTCATTTTTACTCATAGCGTTCCCTTGTTAAGGTATACACCATGCCTGTAATCTTTCATTTTTTTTTTCTTTTTTTTTGTGAAGGCGTGTTTAAGGTTATGCCTTCAGGACCTGTGCGAAACAGTTTAATGTCATGCGGCCTACATGTGCACTATAGTTTAAGGTTATACAGCTGGACCATGGTGGTGATGAATGGCAGTCTGTGGAGGCCATGGACTGAGTATGGTGGTGGTTTGACTCACTTGGGGAAATGGCATTAGGCTACCTATGAGAGATGGATGATGTATGAAATGTGAGTGCACAATGATGACTCATTAGCTTACAACGAGTATGGATGGCGAGATGGTTCGCGATTTTATGAGTGCGGGTGAGACTCACTGGGGAATGAGGTATGGTGATGAAGTGAATGAACTCATTGGGGAGGTAATGTAGGTGGCGCACGCACACTAACAGGTAGGTTAGGGAAGGTGTGCGTGAAAGGTACACGTAAAAGGCATGTGCAAGTATGTGGGGGAGAGTTTTTGGTCATACCTCCGGGACCTCTGCAAATCAGTTTATCGTCATGCGGTCAGAACGTGTACTATAGTTTAAGGTCATACAACTGAATGTAGTTTAAAGTCATACAACTAGGACCGTGCAGTTTAAGGTCGTGCAACTAGACCTTCATTACAGTTTAAGGTCATATATTTTGGACCATGGCTATACAGTTTAAAGTCATGCAGCTAAGACCATGCAGTTTAGGATCATGCAACTAGACCTCCGCTACAGTTTAGGGTCATATAGTTTGGACCATGGTGCTGAGCCTTTTAACGTCATGCGATTAGGACGTGTACTATAGTTTAAAGTCATGTAGCTTGGACTATGGTTATGCAATTTTAAGTTATACAGCTACGACCTTGAAATTTAAGGTTGTGCAACTAGACCTCCAATATAGTTTAAGGTCATATAGTTTGGACCATGGCTGTGCAGTTTAAAGTCATGCAACTAAGACCATGCAATTTAGGGTCGTACAACTAGACCTCCACTACAGTTTAGGGTCATATAGCTTGGACCATGGTTATGCAGTTTTAAGTCATACAGCTAGGACTGTACAGTTTAAGGTCATATAGTTTGGACCATGGCTATGCAGTTTAGGGTCATGCAGCACGGACTGAGGCTGTGCAGTTTAGGCATGCGGCATGAACCGAGGCTATACAATTTAGGGTCATGCAACACAGATAGAGGCTGTGCAGTTTAGGGTCATACAACATGAACCGAGGCGGTGCAACCATGTAGGTGAAGCTCCATGGGGAATAGGTCTGTGGATGGCAATCCGACTCCCTAGGGATAAATGGTTAAGACCATTCACAAACTGAGGGAGTGGTGTCCTGATGAAGGATGGCCAACAAAAGCGGACTTCACTAAGTCTTAGTGGGGGGTAAGCATACTCTCTAGGGTGAAAGATGGCTCGGTGTGAAACAAACCTACCGAAAATTGAAGAGGTAAGAATGACCCTAACTTCACTGGGGACAATGAGATGCAGCATGGGTGTGACTCCCATGGGGATGAGGGATAGCTCTTAACTCCATTAGGGATGATAGGCCA